CTGCATTCAGAGAAGTCGATGGGTTAGTGTGAAGGTGCAGTTCTTACCAGTTCTTACAAGTGCCAAATTTTCCACAGAAGAAGAAAAACACTGAAATCTGGGAAGAGGCACTTGGAGCTCTCTTTCCCCATGGCGGCACAAATGGGCTAAAGGAAACGCTAATCTGCTTGATGTGCGTTCCAGACAGCTGTTAGTAAGTGTGAGGATACGCAGTCAAAGAGCACCGATGCTCTGACGGGCCCGTGCTCATGAGGAGCTCCTGTCTGCGCTACTGCAGCAGGTCGTCTTTCAGCCAGACTCTGCCAGCTGGGCCCATCCTGTGAAGGCCAGGAGCTCCCAGCGTCCCTGCAAGGAGCCGCTGTGCTCCAGGGCAGCCGGCGAGACCATCGCTGCCAGGAGGAGCGTCTTTGGTCTTCTCCCTCATGCCTGTGGTCTCGTACGTCCTTTCATCTCAGAAGCAGTGCTGCCTGCCTTCGCTCTCAGGCCGCAAGAGCCTCGGAGAACGAGTGCAGCCCCACCAGCTCCCTTCATGGGGATGGATCCTGATCCAGGTTAGTCTGGGCCGGGGTGTGATCTGTCGGCCCAGAGGCTCAACCACATCATGCCCTAAATTAAGAGTGTCAGTATCTGCATGATAAGCAGAGATGGAAATAAAGCTGCCAAATTAAGAAAACATTAAGAGTAACTTTATTGATTCCAGGGTCAAATGCTGGTGCGTACACCATCAAGAGCAAGTGCATATAGTGCTAAACAGACAAGGTGCAGAGACAGTGCACATCGTGCAAACAAAGTACAACGTAGAGCAAACAGATTTAAGAAGTACCGATGCTTACGATGGTTATATACTCCGATAAACCTATTGTAAGGCAAAAAGGGAAAAATGCATTTCAATACAGCACACCTAACCTAACATACATCATAGCCTAGCCTAGCCTACCTTAAGCATGCTTAGAACACTTGCATTAGTTGGGCAAAATCATTAACACAAAGCCTATTTTATAATAAAGTGTTGAATATCCCATGTAATTAAATAATCATACCAATCATAAAGTCAAAATATCATAATATGGACCATTGTAACCTGGGGAGCATCTGTATACTGTAAAAAATAAAATACAATGAAAACAGAATACTGTTATACTACAAATACAATTTATACTACAAATACATATTTACAATAAGATTGATAAAGTCTATGAAAATAAATTATGTGCAATAGAACAGAGAGCACCAGGCTCTTCCTGTAAATAACACTGACCACATGCTTTAAGTGGACCTCAACTATATTGTTGGATGATATTCTCAAATAATCTCTTCAACATTAACCTCAGATAGCAACAACATTAACCTCCAAGTGTGGTGGGTGACCGGCGGCTTCCTCACCTACGGCTAACCACCTACCAAAGGACAGCACCTTTAAATCTCAGTGGCCGCTAAAACAGACACGTGTTTCCTGGCTGGGCTGTGGCCACCTCTTCTGAGAGACATCTAATGCACAGTCAGGATAACATCCACCTGTCCTGTTCTCTTTGTAGTTATTCAAGGTGACAACACAGAAACAGCCCAAACTGAAGGTAAGCCAGCTGCCTCTATATGGCTCTGAATCACAGTGCCTGTGCGCTTTGACAGAAAAACTCCTATTACAAAAATGTTTTTAGATTTTTAATCATAAGGGAGAAACCTGATATGAAAACTTTTCTTTCAAAAAATTCACGCGTGGCTGAAATGGCAACACCTTTAACCCAAATTGGAAGACACAGCCACCCCAAGCATTGTTGGTTTGTCTACAGTCCGGGAGATGGTTATGTACCTAGAAACCACAACTCAGTGGAGGAACAAAGGCGCAGATGACAGCGCTTCTCACCGCTGACCGCGATGCAATGACAGCCTGCTAGGGGGCGTCTGACACGAGGCGTCCACCTGTCACGGAGTATTTCTCACAGTCGTAAGCAGGAACATAAACGCAGCAGCCAAACCCTACTGCAGCCTGCGGGGGCAGCGTTGTTCCTGTTCTGCCACATCACCACTGGATGCACAAATGTCACTAACACTGAACCGGACCACATGAATTACCACCCCTCCCCCCTCCTCCTACGTTTCAAGCACAGTGAGGCATGGCTCCATCACCTAACGATTTATTCCAAAAGGTTAGCTCACATGTGGACTAAATGCATGCTTTCCTACAGGCACATTTTCAGCATTTTACCTTGCGTACTCATAATGTTGCCGTTTAGCTGGACAGACATGCTAGGGAACAGGTCCTACTAATCATATTATAAAGATTTTTGCCTTACAGCAAAGGCAGGGTCTGTAGACACTAATCACAAGGCTACATTACTGCAGACAAAGTCCAACTCACTAGAGGGGGCGAACTGGCAACAAAAAACAGCCCAGGAATTTGCTGTTAAGTGGCCCCAATTTGATAGTTTGCCACTGAGGGTGGAGAGGGCGTCCCTGTTGTATAATTTGCTGACCGGCCCTCATTAGAATGCCCACCAGGAAATTTCCTGAACTTTCCAATACCCACAAGCACAAGGGAAAAAAAATCTCATCTGAAGCATAGTGTACAAGAATGGAAAATGACCGTCAGTCATTTTCATTTTCTAAAACCAACATGGCGATCCTGATCCATGGAGAGCCAGTGTAGGTGTGGGTTTTTGAGATGACCTCTCAATCAGCCAATAACAGTGGGTCCCCGGGACTGGAATTGAGAACCACTGCTTTATTATTGGCTGATTGAGAGGCCATCCAAAAACCCACAAACGGCCTCCATGGAACAGATTCGCCAGTCAAAACACAACATATCATGCCAATGAATATCTGTTTCTGTTCACTGGACAAAACTTTCATGGTTGTCAGCGTTTAAACAAGGCAAGAATAACACAGGACTTTATTATTATTTTTATACTGAGAGGAAAGCTGTCTCAGGCTGCTACCAAATACATCAACAGAAACCACAGATAAGCATGTACACAGTACTTCCGGGAACTATGTATGGGAGGTTGGGATTGTTAATTAAAATTTATCAAACTGCTAAAACTCAAAAATTAAGAGCAAACTACACTAGTGGCCAAAATCATGGAAACACTTTATACAGTAATGGTTGCTCTAGTTACTTATTTAATCGTCTAATGTATGATATTTGTAACATTCTTTGATCATTGATAAACATTACCACCAATATTCGGGTAGTAATTTTTAAAGCGTAATGCCAAAAATGCTAGGTGTTTCCACAATTTTGGCTACTAGTGTAACTTTAGTTTTAGAAGTTCCTTATGGAATGGAGTTGTCTCTGCAATGTGTAATTTTTTAGATTGTTCGGGTCCAAAAAATGTCTCATCCGTACCTTACAAATATAAATGCCTGGAAGATGACGTAATGGTTTTAAGGGCGACCCCTGTCAGCCAGTGCCATGGAGATTTTCACTGCTCTGACCCCAAACTCAATGGCATCAAATATTCACGATTTATTTCAAAGCGCTCAGGGAGCGTCCTCTGAAGGAACCCTCGACGTGATTTAGAGCTGGAGGAGAGCCCGCGAAACAGACGTCACATCACGGCAAGAGAGAGGCCTAACGTGACCAGACAACTTAAACAGGCCCAGATGCTTAAAACAGGACTTTAATTACCCGGGGGGGGGGGGGGGGGAGCTAACGTGAGCCAGTCATGTCACACCGATCAGAGTTTTGCAGTCACCTTGTCAGCACTGTTTCTCAGGTAGGTGGTAAATAGTCCTTTTTTTTTTTGCTACCTACAGTACAAGCCCCATGACCTTTGAAGCCTTCTGGTATAGAGGTCACTTGGAAGGAAAAACAGTCACACATGATACACGTTCATAAATTAGTGCTTATTGGCATAAGATCACGACAGCTGACTGATTAGTGCCATGACATCACCTCCAAAGCAGCCTTAATACAGTCCAAAAACAAGAGGCTAGATGAATTGGTGTGTGGAAAACATGTTTAATGTTTAAGTTTGTGTCCACCTTGAGAGAGAAAGGCATTCAATCCAGGATGTCCCCTACCGTGTGGCCTGTGATTTCTGGGAGAGAATCCAGGCTCACTGCAACCCTGTAAGGCAGTGTTTCCCAATCCGGTCCTTGGGGACCCACAGTCGGTCCACGTTTTTGCTCCCCCTGAACTCCCTGCCAGACAGTCCACATTTTTGCTCCCTCCCACCCCAGTAAAAACGTAGACTGTCTATGGGTCCCTGAGGACCGGACTGGGAAACACTGCTGTAATGGCTAAATCAAGCGAAAGGGATATTGACAGAAATGTATTTTAATTACAGTCACAGTAAGACTATGTTGACCATGTAGTGCTTGTTTTAAAAGCACCTGTCTAAACTGTTCCTAATGACTTATCTACACTATAAGAGTGGATATTCAAACTGGTATTTAATTTTGTAGTGGAACATGACAGTTGCGCCAAGAGAAAATAAAAATAAACTTCTGCTTTGACACCTCATATTTAAATGCCAGGTGCAAAAACAATCATCCCCTCCATTTCCTAACTCTGGCCCAGTCTTTCCCAGCTGTCTCCATTATTCAGCCTCACTAAAGACGGTTTATACATTTCAGTCAATTAAACTGTCACCGTGACAGCACCACATAGCAGAATCGACTGCCACAACCTGCCACGCGTGTAACGTGACACATGTGCCGCATCAGGCAGCTACAGAACAGCGAGATGACAAGCAGAGTCGCGGTACGCTGCGCCGTCTGTTAAATTCCCCCGATTCGCTTCATGGACATCGCGGTAGCTGTGGGTTGGGACCACCTGCAAGCAGACAACAAGCCATGGTTTGGCCCCCAAGCGGCACTCATCAGCTCACATTTCCCTCTGATTTCCGGCTTGGGACAGAAACTGCCTTCATCTACCCAGACACTGACGGTACTTAACGGTACTTAAAGCTGCAGAATTTCTTATGCAGAAGCCGACGATGAATTTTAAAAAGAATCATTTTTTAATTTAACATTACAATCGTAAAATATTGCCTTACCACTTCATTTTTATGGAACCATTTTTTCTCATTTGATGTCATTATTATGGGATTTCAGTCAGGTCACAAGCCCAGAGCCACCTGCAAAAAAACAGTCTTACTCGTACTGGGAAAAGGATATGCATTATGAGCGAACTATTAAATTCTAGTCAGTCCCAGTAGTTGGCCATGGTCAGAGCTGGAAAAATGTACTGAATGCTGAATGGAGCCAGTTGGAACCGTAAAAGCTGTTTTTTATATAGCTGGGAAAATCTAACATTAGTGTATTATAAAAAGCACACACTTGTGACATTCTGTAACAGTCCCGTACTTTAAGGAAAAAAAAACCAAAACACAATCGTAGATGGTCTGATTTTTTGCTAATTGTTAATGTTGTTATTGATTTTAAACCAAAACTGTGCATTAGATAAAGGAAGAAGGGCAATCAAAGGACAGCAAATTAGCAAACAAATACTAAGTGACAAACAGCACCTCTGTGTGGAAAGAGTATCTGTCACTAGACCCTCATCTGACCATATCCTGTGTATCAGACTACGGTGTCACTACACTGGCGGGGTCGATGTAATTCCACTGTCATCTCTGGTTAGGAACAGAATTCAAGTTTCCACCCATAATGGCCCAAATGTAGTGAGGAATCTTTAAATCGTGATACCAAACCTTGATGCGAGAACAAATTCTTACTGTGGGAATGCAGAGACTGTTCTGAAGAATATTCAGTCCTCTCCCAGTCTGCACGCGCTTACATAACATCACTCTGCTTAAGTTTCAAGGAGTCCCAGTACTGAAAACCCTTTCCAGGCTGGTAGACGTTAAAATTTATTTATTATTTTAAAAAGGTATTTTGGAGTTTTCACGATTATTGTAAATCCAGTCACTGAAAACTAATTTCTCAGATTAGCATTCAAACCACCGGGGACCCTAATTACCTCTTCATTAGGGTTGTGTTAACTACAGTATATGGGAACACTTTTTAACAGTAAAAAAAAAAAATCACATTTCTTGGTTGCCAAGTTAAAAAGGGTCAAAATTTTGTGCCCTTTTCGGTTCTTAAGTTCCTTCAGTTTGCTGATTTTAGCAAAAAAAAAAATAAAAAATCTCTGAACAAATGTAATATGGAATAAAATACAAAATGATCCTGAACATTAAGGAGGGATCAAGCACTTTTTCACAGCACTAAACTATTAGATTTACTGCTGAAATGTGAGGAGAATGCAGCCATTCACAGGAATGGAAGGATGGACACGTGCTTGGCTACACAAGACACAGAAACCTCTCGTTATAATGATATTCATCCTACTTCCATCTGTTTATGCAATACAGGTTGGGGGTGGGGGGAGCTGGAGCCCGTCCCAAGCAGCATATGGCACCAGGCTGGGACTGCATGTCACCATGAACACAGTCACACAATATAGGCCATAGGTGCCAATTAGCCAAACTCAGGCACGCAGCCACGTAGTAAGATGATGGGTTTTGTTTGCTACCTATTAGGCATGTAGCCAGGTAGTAAAACGACGAGCCGGAACCCCCTTTAAAATTTGCTTCTGCCCCCCCTACAGAGGGAGACCCTCCCACGCTCTTATCGGCGAAATCTACTAAGAGGGGCCTATCATGAAAACAACATGCAAACTCCTCACACATAGAGCAGAGGTGAGACGAGGCGGTTACACATATAGATACATTACAGCTCCCCCCGACAGAAGGAGACAGGCAAAGCATCTGGAGGAAAACAGGATCAGTTAAAGGTCACTGTAATACTCGGCTTCATTCCACCTCACAGCCTTTGCCGTTGTATTATTGCGAGGAGTTTCCTTAATTGGACGACATTCAGCTCAGGCACATATATAAGCACTATGAGTCAGCGCGGGTTGAAGTTTTTCAATGGTTTTGTTAAAGTCAATGTTACACACAAGAAATGTGTGCTGCTGTGGCTTTCTTCCTTATTTGCCAGGCGTCAAGCTCATCGGGATGGATGCTCCCTCGAACCCCGTTTTGTTATTTTTAGTAATGAGTGAGAGTGGGGGGAAAAATGAGAGCCTACAGAGCAGTGAAGAGTAACTATAATGAACCTGTTTCCCACAGAGTGATGAGAGTCTGGGACTAATACCCCGAGCAACCGGGGCAGTCACGGAGACCATTACGGCGGAGCGGGCTGCCTGAAGGCGCTGCCCAAGGGAGGAAGCACAGCGGCGAGACAAGTCCTGTTTTCATCGAGTGTCAGGAAATCACTCTGGAAAGCGCCACAGACACTCGATCTCACTGCCGGTCTGGGAGCGGTGACTCAAACCTTTGATCAGTGCCATTTTTCATTAGTAACGGGCCAAGATGATGGTCATTGCGTCCCTTGAGCTGACGGTGAATACGTAAGAATGGAGATGGCTGTGCTGAATGGCTATACCTATAAGCCTCCCTATTTCCCAAGCAATCCCAGGCTATTTGTGGGGTGACTTTCAATCACGTGTAGAGAATAATGGGAAATGAGCTTATGGAAGCTGTATTTTGCAGATTAAACTTCACGTGAAAGTGCTCACTTTCAGTGCTTCTCTGAACACACGCCCTCCTCTGTCCATCTCTATAAACACACCCTAACAGACCCCCTCCCAAAAGGATTTCCTGAATATATTAGGAGTTGCCAGCAGACCACAGGACGCATAGATCATTCTAACTATAATAGAGTTCGCGATTACCTGAATATGTACTGTCATCTGTCACTGACAAGCACTTACAATATTCCCAAGACTTTACCTGCATCTCACAATCACAAATGACAAGACTGGCGAACAAACAACAATAATTGTGCACTGTCTCCGGGAGAGAGAAACAGTATTGGAATGCAACACCGATCTCCCGCATTCGGAGGAGAGAAGCTTTCTTTTGATTATTGTGACATGAGAGTTGATCCTCTAGCATTTGTGGGTGAATAATGAATCGGCTGACATTTGAGTTTTACGGCCTGGGCCAGGACCTTTAGTGCAATGCATTTATATACCGACACAATGAGCAAGGATAATCTGCGTGTATGATTCCAGCAGAGCCCTCACTGCTGCAGGTTCAACAAAGCCTAACATCAGTCTGCTAGTGAACTAAAGACCAGAAGCTGAAATCACTGATAAGCAGTTTCGTAGTATGGGGGGGAGACGATAAAGGAGAATGTTTAAATTACTTTTATCGTGCATTGTTTCGATGTGTGACTCACCGGAATAAGTCTGTGATCAGAAGGTCACTGGATCCAGGCTCGGTGGTCAAATGTCCCTCAGCATGGCCCAGAACCCCCAGCTCCAGGGGTGCTGAAGGTTAGTTAATCCTGCATTGTGACCCCACCCAAGCTTACTCTCACCAACATGTGTGTGTCATGGAGAACAAGATGGGGTAGGTGAAACATTTTGCATTGTGTCAATTCCAAAAGCAGTTAAGAATGTCTGACTTACGGACAACTCATACTTAATTTCATTATGTATTATTGCTGCTCCGACTTAGAGACAGACTTACGAATCGATCATGCGCAGTGTGTCCAGAGCTTTGCGTACACCGCTGCACGTACCCAAATTTGGAGCGCAGCGGGCGTTCGTCCGCGGAGACGCACAATTACGTCAAACGCGTCATAAACGTTTGAGCGGACGCGTCCACTAGTACGCGTGAGAAGAAGATGAACCAGCTTTTAGGGAACAGATCTCGTTCGTAACCTGGGGACTGTCTGCGTTCCAGCTTCAGCCTTTCTTGAACCTTGAATTTAAATAATTTGTTTTGCTTAATTACTATAATTTATGTAACCGTTGTACAGGATTTCTCTCGAACTTTTTAGGATTCGATCCAGAGTTCTGAACAGATTAATTTCGAGTCCTGAGGAACCACTGTATATCATATGTGTGTATGTCTCAGTGGAGAGCATGATGGTGAAAAGAAGCATTCTGGTGTACCTGTACTTATACTTGTGCAAATGGCAAGTAAAGCATAATTTCATCTCACTGAAGAGCATATACTTAATATAAATAAAAATCGTATAAAGACAATCTCTATGATGCTGCTTTTAATCAACAGAAAGAAGATTCAGATGCAGATCACTAAGGTATTCTCTACCTTAAAGGAGCTGAATATTTTTTTATAAGAAGATGCGGTTTCATTTACAAAGAAACAAACCAATCCTTGCTTTGTACAACACATTCCTCCACAGATTCATTATGTATTCTCTGCGAAAATACCCATAAAATTAAATGACTCCAGTTTGGAAGACTGTCCTCCCCTGATCATCATCCACATAAGATAGCAAATTCTTCCTGATTTGTTACATGCAAATAGACTCCTTAATGGAAGCTGATAGATTTGAATCTTTAAATTGCCCCTCGATTGCAAATTTATTTTGTCTCAGAATGTCTTCTGCTGTCTTGGCTGTGTAATATTTCTCATCTGTGGATTTTATTCAAAAGTTTAAAAAAGCTCTGCAATTTAACTAGGGATAACAATTTATTCTACAGTTGAGGAAGATTTAGCAAAATCAATAATGGTCCAAGTTCAATATTTACTAACCTCATTAGGTCAATTATTGGATCCATGATTTTTTTTGGTGGGGGGAGGGGGGCAAACAGTTAAAAGAATTATTGTAATTTGTCCATCCATCCATTTTCTATACCTGCTTGTTCTATGCAGGGTTGCGGGGGTCCAGAGCCTATCCCAGAAATGACAGGCGCAAGGCGATTGGAATTTGTATTAAATATATTTCTTATATTCATTTAATCATTAATTCAATCTGAATGATGCAGACAGACATATTAAATGGTTAAAAAATTACATTTCACAATGTTTTTAAATGTCTGGTCCTAGTTTTTGGCAGAAAACAAGGGCATCAGCTTCGGCATAAAGACACGCTGGCTAGTAAAGTGAGGAACAATATCATGAATCAACACTGAAACAAAATAAAACAATACAGACATATGTGCATGTGTGGATGTGGATGGGGGTGTGAACCATAAACAATGCAGAGTAACCAATTCTGCAGCGTGAGCAGAACAGGCACTGGCTGTCAAATTACAGAAGGTGACACGAGGCAAGAACACAGATTCATCACACTGGCAATAAATATGGTTTACAGCTGAATGTCTGTGGACAGACACAGCTTAATTACTACGGAGGACAAACGTAAATGGCAAGGTGCCTACTAAGCCAAGTCCTCGAAACAGTAATCGGTTTCACTAAAATAGATATTGATTTCAGAGAACAGCAAGATTTTACCATCAGAACAAGAAATTGTGTCAAGATCTTTGCCTGCTAAATTATATACGGTGTGTCAGTAATCCTGAATTTTTAATGCGAAGCAAATGTGAGTACTTCACAAAGAGAGTAGCCGTCTGTGAATCGTTTAGAGTGTTTTTATACATCTATCACTTGCTCCTATAAAATAAAATGAGCAAACAATGCCCTGTCTGGCTTAATCTGACAAAGTCAATTTTTTAACATGCATGACAGGATTTTAAACTGCATGTAGTTCACTGGGCCCTGAGGTGCACAGGCACGTCGACGTCGCCTTGTGCCCTGAGCTTGCAGGGCTGCCACAGACTCATCCCAGTCCTGCTTTGGATAAAGAGAAGACATGATGTGTTTTTTTGTCCTCCTTTACAGATTAAATTGTGCTGGACACCAGTGGAATGTAGTAAACATAATAATTAAATTGCAAGATAACAATTATGTTGAGGTTAATTACTTTAATTAATTATTGACAATTATAAATTATACATTAATCACAGCCGTAGTATTTATTTGATACTCATGACCTTTGATAATCACAAATTTGCGGTATACATAATTAAAGGGTTTATGAAACCAGCCTGGCTAATTTTACACTTCTAGAAGGTTACAGGGTGTATGGAGCCAGAGGGAAGTTTTAGATGAGATTCGAAGAAGGTCTTGTCAAGGTTTTTAAGGCCGTTTCAAACAATATAAAAGTAATATGATTAAATATGTAAGGGTAGGGCACACGACAGAATCAAATAATAAGATTAACAATCTAATTACACAATAGATAAATCAGTTATTCTATAGACAAGGTTTTGTCAAAATAATATCTTTAGGTGTAAATGTGCAAGCTAAGGGTGTAGTAATTGTGTTATTATTGATTTATGTTAACTATGATTGCTTGGTTACAGAACATAAATCATTATCCTTCTGACCCGTCAGATTTAAGATTTCACCAGCGCCGTGGTTCTCCTGGAATGACTGCACCTGTTAGCAGTAGTAGAAATTCTAAACCACTACAAAAGTGACAGAAAGTGAGTAAAAACGGCAGTTTGACTTTATCTTCCTTGCATCACTGGGCATCGAGACAGAGGGATGACAGCCGTATCACATGATCCCATCATCAGCGGGACGCTTGCCACGGAATGGCTGCCCGGCGTCGCACACGGTCCAGCGCCGAGCACCCGGGGACCAGCCAGGTGGCGGGATTCCATCCCATCTCTACATGCCAGTGCTGGGAAAATAGCTCAGCATTAATAATAAATAAAACAAACCAGCCATGTAATGAAAATTACACCCTTCGAATTGTATGTTTCCAGACAACGACTTGATAGGTTTAAGGCTCCCTATCATTTTGCGCTGCAAACAGAAGTATCTGCTCATGCCCGGGCCTGACACTGTGACTCCCCCGATACCGAGAACATTAAATGGCACATCCTCTCAGAGGATCCCAGTGGCCGTGAGTCTAAATGTCACTTTAGGTAGCACTGAATCCCGGACTCAGATGAACGGAGGTGATGAACCACTAATGAATGACGGAGGCAAAGGTGAACCCTCACCGTGAAATATCTTGCTACCATTCAGTCCGGCCGCTTGATGCTCGTTAGGAATTAAACGTGAGAAACTGAAGGCCAAGACTGGTTTGGCAAACGCAAGACGCAGACAACCTTCATCTCCAACCCTCCAAAAAGCCATATTGACCAGGTAAATGAAAATTTGCTAATCTCAAAAAAGGATGATCTGCAGATCTATGTAATGTCATAAAACCGCAGATTACCCTGAATGCAGTTATATTATAACACATGGAAAAGTCAATGTTTCATTTAATCCAGTTTCAACTGAAGGCGGTTGTTCAGATGACAAACAGTCAAGAAAAGCAGAATTGTAGATCAATATCAAATATGCTTAATGTTGGTGTCATTTCTATATGCTTTGTAGGCTTTTGAACAAAGTTTTCTCAACAATGTTTTCTGAAAGGTGTCCAGCCCTGGAGAAATATTACCTTGGTCTGAGTAGAAATCATTTCTGTGAAAAGGTTCAGAATAATAGGAAGAAAGAAATTTGTAGGAAATAGGTATATATGTATGTTAAGAAATTAAAATGGTCTTCAAGGTATCAAAATGTCAGAATAATGAAGAAGAACAATTACAAGGTTAAGGAACGGGAGACAAAGTGGCAGCTGTAAAAGCAATTGATTCACAAGTCAAAAGTGTTGGTCCCTCTTTAAGGCTGTAAGCCTTCTAACTGCCTGTGATTTTTATGCAAACACAGAAATCCAATTTATTTCGTGCCTGAGACTAATGGTGCTTTCAACCTTAATTCCTGCTGCATAAAATTTTGCACAATGTAGCCCTATCAATTTGAGAATGGCAATTTAAACACGTCAATAATCATCCAGCCTTGTGGCTTAAACTTGATCAGACTCAGGTGGGGGTTGGGGGATCTACCGGTGTCTTCATTTCCAATGACGTTGCATCTTTTGGGCTGCAGTAGGATCGATAGGTTGAAGGTCGTGACAGGTTGAAGATTTATAGAGTGTGGAGAAGCGGCCTGCCATGTGCAGTGAAAAGCCAAGTGGGCTGGGGGCCCTGTTCACATTCTGCTTCACTCTGTGGCTTGGTCTTTGGCTGAAAGGTGACCTTCAGTACCAAGGGCAAACATCAGAAATGCAAAGTTCAGGTCCAGAAAGTACAAATCCAGACCAAAACAAAAACAAGATGGGTTTATTCCAATAAAAAAAAAAAAACAAGGAAAAACTGTCAAAACAGAAAAACAAAGGGATTGCAGGGAAGCTCAGAATTGGGATTTGGAACTAGATTGGGGGGTGGCAGTCTTATACAGAAAGGGCTGTTGGGTATGTGGGTCTTCGCAGCAACTCCCTAATTGGATTACTAAGGACTGGCTGAAGAGTCCTCACACCTGGATTTGAATAGCTGACCTAAATCCCTAGAACCTGCATACACACCGGTCCTTTGTGGATAAGATTGTGGATAACTAGACTAACAAGGATAACAAGGTCAGTGTCAGGACTGGGGAACACCTTTATACAAAGACTAAGTAGGGGGCAGAACGAGAGGCTGCTGAGGTGTGTTACACAAGGGCAGGAGGAACAAGAGGTAAGACTGATGCATAACAGGGAGAAACGGGTGGGGCAGATTGGTTGGGCGTGACAGTATCCCTGTGATGGCGGAAAGGTACACCCTGAAAATGGATAGCCAAATCAGCTACAGCTACTTATAAAAAAACAAATTAAAATGGCTGCACCAACATTGTTAGTTTCC